AAATGAGAGTAGAGAGAGAAGTGGAAGAAGGACCACTAGAAAAGGCCTGTAATTAGAGCTGATTAAGAACCCTAAAAAGGGGCTATGGAAACTTGGACCAGAAGCACACACACATCAAACACTTCAATATTACATGGTTTTATTAAAAGCCTAAAAAAAACAATAAGATGATTGCTTGGCTTCACGTTTTGTTCTCACATTCTCATTCACAAATACAGAGACCAAATGATGGGATTGAGAACCCTCCACTTTCCCCACCAACTCTCTCCCTTTCCCAATTTTCCTCTTTTAAAACCCTAAATGGGTTTATTTTACTTCGTTACATATGGTTGGGAGGAGTCTCACATTCGCTAATTAAGAGAAAAATCATGAGTCAACCCTAAAAAAGATACATTTGTCTCTCGAGCTTTTCAATGATTTTTTGACATTTACACTAGGGCTACCCATCATATGACGAACAATCAAGCAGCACTTGTCTCATCTTATCGTACACGTTTGATATAAATAAGCGCTTTGTAGGCTACCAATGGAGGGCTATAAGATCGTTCACTCAATCCCAGAAAAAGAACTCTCTCAATCCTAGTAGGCTTGTAAGGAAGAAGGACATCCAATACGATGATCCATATAAGTATCATATTATTGTGAAAGGTCGTTGTTTATAAATGGAAAAAATCTATTTTATATTTAATGAATAAACTTTTCAAAGGGTATATTTTTCTCTAATATTTTTTAGCAATTATTTTAATTTTGTGAGTATGAAAGTCAGAGATGAGATTTGACGACTTTGGTGGGACGAAAATGTCGTACCTAAATCCCACTCGATTGATTTTTTTTTTCATAAAAATAAATTTATTAATGAAATATGGTTACATATTATTGTTGTCGAAATAAAATGGACCAAAAAATTTATCGTCCCCAACCTAGGACAAGTAGCTTCTATCCTACTTCAACAACATTATATATATATATATATATATATATACTCTCATTCCTAATTTTCGTAGCTTTTTAGTTTTAATTTATTTGTTTAATACTTATTTAAACAAAGTAATTAACAAATCATAATACCTTAATTCGAACATGGGCTATTAATGTCTACCGTTAAAATGGTTGTCTTTAGTTGTTGGATAAAAAATTCATTAAAAAAGCCACATATTTCAATTTTACTCTAATTTATTAAATAATATATTAATTATCCTTTTAAAAGTCTCTACCATAAATTTAATTTAATTAAAATAAATAAATAAACGCATTTTTAATTTGGATAACCAAGATTCATAGCAATTAATGCAATCCTATTAGTTGTTCTACTTTTGTGGCTTTAATTGTATTTAAAAAAAAACAAATTATCAGACATATATGTCATTTTACATAATTAATTTAAAATCTTTATAATGATTTTATACGCATGTGACATTAAATATTCCAATTAATATATAAAAAGACATTATTTAATTTATGCACCTTATTATAGCTTCTATATATATATATATATATATATAATTGAAGTGTTATTTAATCTCAAGCCTAATATATATAGTCTGACTTCAAACATTTCTTTTATAAAAATTAAAATATTTATATGGATGCTTACGGTGATATTTCAATTGATATGAGATTTATTATTATTATTATTATTATTTTAATATTTTAGTAAAAGAAAATTTTTAAATGTGAGAAATTCTCTTAAATTCCACTCTCTAATATTCATATATTTTTGCTTTTGGGGTCAACCAAAAAGGAAGGGAGAAAAGGAAATCACGAGTTTCTCTTTAATCTGGCTTTCAAATTCCAGACGACATTGAGTTGAAGTGTCTTGAAGAGGGGTATGGAAGAGCATAAGAACATTATCCCACATGCCACCAAAAATTGCAGCATAAACCGAGCGGAATTGTTCGATATTCTTCTGAACAAATGCCAGGTAAAACCACGACATGCTTAATAATATGCACTATATTCTCATTCTTTATCTATTGGATGGCGTTGATAAGTGGTCTTAGTGAGGAGATGAACTCGTGTTTATGGATGATTCCTTTTGCCCATAAGGTGTTTGATAAAATGTCTGGATCATTTTTTCAACGTAGTGGTTGCTCTGCCGATGCTACTCTTTCTTTTATTCATATTCTCTCTTTNTTTTTTTTTTTTTTTTTTTTTTTTTTTTTTTTTTTTTTTTTTTTTTTTTTTTTTTTTTTTTTTTGTTTACTTGTGCATCGTCGACTCATTTGAATATTCCAGCATGTTTGAACATATCTATATGGAAAGAAGCTGACTGCAGTTTTCTTTCTTCAGAAGGAAGAAAAATGTGCCTTCCTTTGACAAGATGGTCAAGTTTCCAGGGCTACCCTAAAGGTAGAATTTGTTTCCCATCTTTCAACGGGAAGATTGTTCGAAGATTGTTGGGAGGGAGTCCCACATTGACTAATTTAGAAAATGATCACGGGTTTATAAGTAAGTAATACATTTTGGAGAAGCCCAAAGCAAAGCCACAAGAGCTTATGCTCAAAGTAAACAATATTATACTATTGTGGAGATTCGTGATTCTTAACAATGATCGCTTGAAATTGTAGAGCTTGTAGAGCTGTAGTAACTCGTTGTGGGGTTGGTTTCGACTTCCATATAATCACTCATCTCTTAAAGAATCGAAATGAATTAATTTTTCTTCTTTAATGTGACCTTCCCATTATCCAGGTATCTTGAACAAGGATGGTCTACCAGAAACTTCAAGTACTAGAAAACTTATTCTCATCAATGGTAACATTGGACCCAAAAGAACAGCACTTGATGTTTTGTCTCCTGACATTTATACACCAATCGTGGATGTGGAACTTCTAGATCACTGGAATGATGAATACGAAGGGGTCATCATTAATTCAGAGAGCCTACCCTCTTCTGCAAACGCCTTTGCTTCAGCTCTCCAGGCATCTCTCTTCCAATGAAAACTCAAGGTCTGGGAAAAAGTAAAGTTTCCCTTTCTTCTTTATACCACAGTTTTCTTGACATCTCTGCGCCTAGAACCTTTTTTTTCCTTCCAAATTACAAACAGAGCAAGCTGAACTTGTTTCTGTGGCCATTGATGTGAGATAATAACTGATATTTTTAGTTCACACTTTCAATCACTGCAAAAGTTGTGACATCAGATTCTCGAATTTGAACTTCCATAGCCATTATTAGATATTTTAGAGTTGTAACTTTCAGGAGGGGTTCAACTCTCATCATGCTGAAGCAGGATATGTCATGCTCACTTACTGAATTCCTTCTTTGTCCTGCATGCTTCCTTCTGGCCCCTCGCATCATATTGGCGTTGTAGCATTCCTCATCAATGACAACGAGGAGGTACCTGTTTTCCACTTTACAACTGCTTTTCTCTCTGTTTAATAGAATAGGATCATTTTACGTCCTTATTGATATGATTTCATTCACTTTATGTTGGTAGCATTTGGTTCATGAGTGTAAAACGTTGAACCTGTGTAGTTTAAAAGTGAAAAGCTTAAATTTCCCTCGCACATGTTTGATTTTACAAAAGTTTAAATGTCAGTCTCAATTTGTCAAACACATGGTTATGTTAGAAGTAGGATTAGCAATCTTGTAGCATAATATAAACCAGCTCCCTTTTGCCTAACTTTCAAATTTCAAGTGTCCTTTTGGGCTTAAACACACACAAGTTTTGTTGAGTTCAATATCTAGGTGAGATTTAAACCTTTAATCGATTAGATGTATCTTAACTAGTTTATGTTGAAGATTGTTGGGAGAGAGTTTCACATTGGCGAACCTAGGGAATGATCACGGGTTTATAAGTAAAGAATACACCTCTATTGGTATGAGGCATTTTGGGGAGGCCCAAAGCAAAGCCATGAGAGCTTATGCTCAAAGTGGACAATATCATACTATTGTTGAGAGCCATTATTCCTAACATGGTATTAGAGTCATGCCCTTAACTTAGCCATATAAATAGAATCCTCAAATGTCGAACAAAGAAGTTGTGAGCCTAGAAGGTGTAGTCAAAAGTGACTCAAGTGTCGAGCAAAATGTGTATTTTGTTCAAGGACTCCAGAGAAGGAGTCGAGCCTCGATTAGGAGAAGGTTGTTTGAGGGCTCCATAAGCCTCGGGGGAGGCTCTATAGTGTATTTTGTTCGAAGGGAGGATTCTTGAGAATTGCTGAGAATTGTTGGGAGGGAGTCCCACGTTGGCTAATTTAAGGAATGATCATGGGTTAATAAGTAAAAAATACATCTCCATAGATATGAGGCATTTTGGGAAGCCCAACATGAGAACTTATACTCAAAGTAGACAATATCCTATCATTATGGAGAGTAGTTATTCTTAATAGTTTAGTTATATTTAGTTATATTTAGTTACTCCTAATATCCTATCAAAGTGTACATTGATCGCATCATTCTCATTTTCTATGAATACTAAAACTATTTCATAGGTGCATGTGGTGAAGAGAAATGTTCTTGTAGTTGCTCGGGCGTGTGGAAATTGGCAACTGTTTACGTTAACACTTCAGTCCATTTTTTTTCAAATCAATACCATTTTCTGGAGGATTGCTTGTCTGATGTTCTGCCTGGTAATCATATTCATGCTCTATATGATCATTTGGAGGATATAAACTCTGTCTTCTCACTTTAATCAACTTCTGGGTTCTGAATTTCAGATCGATTCAATGATCTTGGAAATGGTTGCTTTTCAGGTATGGGCTCCCCCCATTCTTGCCAAATTCGGTTCTATTAAATGAAGAAATTCAAATGGTCTGAGTATCGATTAATAATGGTAAAAGAAAATAGGGACAAATTTGAAAAGAGGGATGGTGCTTTATATATTATATATATATGTATTTATTTTAACATCTTATCTAATCTTAGCCATTAAAAATATAACCTAACCCCATTTATCATCCATATACATATATTGTATAGGTATATTTTTAATAACCACATGTATCTTTGTTATCTATATAATATAATATATATTAGATTAATTAGTAGATTTGAACTTAAACGTGTCAAGCTTCCGAGTTTGTATCAACCGGTCTCTACTACATTCAATCTTTTCTAAAATTAATAAATCTACTTGACATATAAATAATTTCAAAAATAAAAAATTTATTAAAAAGAGCTGAAATTACACTAAATCCATTTCAACTGGGAAAAAAAGTAATTGTGGATGCTAAAATTTTATTTAAAAAAATGCAATCCCCCAAACTTGTTCCACAATTTTCTCATTGGACCAAATTTACCATTTTAAATGAAATGCCAAAAAGTAACTAACTTTAAGATAATTATTGATTTATTTCTTTTTTAGGAGAGAAACCAGACAAAAAATCCAACGTAAAATATAGCAAATCAATTTCCATTTTCCACAAGGTGCCCGTGTTTTTCGGCCTCCTGATCTTTTCCCCTTCTCCTATTAGGCCTTGACACGTGGACTGAGATTCAAGCTTTTCAATTGGAATATGTATTCCTTTTTTGGCAGTTCCCTCCACCTACGGGATTCTTTAACAAAGTGAGTGCGGTGGTTGGTTGGTTGGTTGGTCTTCACTTTTTGATTTTTGGATTTACAGTCAATTTCTTAATAACATTTTAATAATTAGACTTAACGTTTTAATATTAATAAGACAACATTAATGGGTGTATATAGTGACACAACTGCAACATTTATTTTATAAATTAAAAGTTAATTTTATGTTGATTAAGGATTTTCAACAAAAATTTACTATTACCATCATAATATTTATCTAAATTTGAGGTATAAAAAATCTATAATCAATTAATTTAATTTTTTAAATTTGTTCTATTTAAACCAAACCAATTTTATTTTTTTAAGGGTTCATATTATTTATGGCTGACGTGAGAGAATATACATTTATTTATTTGCAAAAATAATAAAATGTAGAGCTAGAAGTAATCTTTATATATATATTTAAAATTACAAGAGGATATGATTAAAATAAATAAATAAATAAAATGGTATGTCATCGTAGGAATGTCAATCAAAAAAATAAATATTAAATTACGTCAGCTTTCTATTTTTCAAATATACACAGACTATACTCAGCTTTCCATGGTTTTTCTAACAACAAAATAGGTCAGCTTTTTTTTTTTTTTTTTTAATTGAATCCTAAAATTAAATCGTATTATTTTAGAACTCAAGAGATAAAAAAAAAAAAAAAAAAAGATATATATATTTATTTTAAGTAATAAGATTTAAACGTTTGATTTTTTATTATTTATCTAGCTTACTTTGATATTCAAATATTTTAACTTAAAAAAAATGATAATAATACTCATTAATAATTTTTTTAGATTTTAGATAGATAATCAAACGAGATTTTTTAAAATTTAAATATTTCTAAAAGTTCATTCATTAAATGTAAAAATGAAAAAAATATATATATCTTTACATGTCTTAACTAATTTTATATAAAAAATTACAAATCATATTCGTACAGATAAAGTTTACAAATAATAATAAAATACCCCAATAAGTTATCGTTTTTTTAATAAAAGAAATATAGTACTATTGAAATGCCAAGTGAATCAGAAAAATAAATAAAAAATAATAATTATAAAAGTTAATTAAGTTCCGTGGTCGATCAGAGTATCAAATTTCGAATAGGAAAATGATTCAGGAATCTCCAACACCCTTTTTAAAATTTTCTATTTTTAAAAAATTTCTGGTTCTTTTTGTCTGATTGCGCCACTCAAAGCCCACTCTTATCGGAAGAACTGTATGGTAACAATAATCATATGGCACAAGAAAGTGGTCGTAGTTCCTCCAGTTTTTAGCCACCAGATTTCTCTCGATCCAAAATACCAGAGCCTTTTCAGCCCCAGCGATGATACCCAGAAAGCAATTTTAGCGTCTACTGTTGAATTTCTACTTTTCCGGGAGTCTTTCACCGATTCGTCAACAGGGCCCCCCCTATATCTGTGTATATATATATCTTTCGCCATTCTGTTTCCTGTTCAACCAATTTAGATTTGTGGCTTGCCCTCGTCGATTTATTGTTTGATGATCGTTTCGGATCGCGATGGCGACAACTGCTAATAACATTAACAGTAGCAAGGCGAAGATTGTCCATGGAGATTCTGGTTATGTTCTTGAAGATGTTCCTCACTTGTCCGACTATATTTTTGATCTCCCTGTATGTTCTTTTTCCAACCCCATCTGCTTTTTCTTTCTGATATCTTGTTTCCTTGATGTTGCGATGTTGATCTCAACCAAATTTAGTAATCTGGGTTTGTTTGATTTAGTCATTTTGTTGATGAATCTTGAAATTGGCGGGCGTAAATGATGTTCGTATTATTAGTTCGGTGGTGGCCCTGTTTGTTGGCTTCTGATGATCTGATGGTTTGTTTTGCTTGCAGACGTATTCCAATCCATTGCAAGACAATCCTGCGTACTCTGCAGTCAGGTTGGTGCTTCTTCTTTTGTGCTTTTCTAATCTCTTATGTGTTTTTTTTATGGTTTTTTAGGAGATTGATGTTAGGAATCACGATTCTCCATAATGGTATGATATTGTCCACTTTGAGCATAAGCTGAGCATAAGCTGATGTATTCTTTACTTATAAACCCATGATTATTGTGTAAGTTAATGTGGGACTCCCTCCTAACAATATTTCCCTTGAACAAAGTACATCATAGAGCCTCCCCTGAGGTCTATGTAGTCATCAAACAACCTTCCCTTAATCGGGTCTTGACTCCTTTCTCTGAAGCTTTCGAACAAAGTATACCTTTTGTTCGACACATGAGTCACTTTTGACTACACTTTCGAAGCTAACAATGTCTTTGTTTGACACTGGAGGATTCTATTGACATAGTTAAATTAAGGGTATGACTCTGATATCAGGTTAGAAATTAGAGATCACTACATTGGTATGATATTGTCCATTTTGAGCATAAGCTCTCATGATGACTTTGCTTTGGGCTTCCTCCCAAAAGACCTCATACCAATGAACATGTATTCCTTGTCTATAAACTCGTGATCATTCCCTAAATTAATCTGGACTCCCTCCCAACAATCCTCAACAATGCGCTGATTTCCGTTGATAAAGTTAATCTATGTTTTGCAGGCAGTATTTTGTGCATGTTGATGACTCCGTTCCTCAGAGGGTTAGCTTTTTTCTTGGACCTTACCTTTTGTTTCTAGGGAGTTTGCGTATTATTGTAAATTTAAATTAATCTTAAACTATGGGATTTCGTTACAAAATGTGAGATTGTGCATAAAGATGTCTGATAGATGCTATGGCATTTCCTGGTTTCATGAGGAAATAGCTCTAAATGGCAAGATTTATGAAGCATTGACATATGAAAATGATCATTTTCTCATGTAGCAAGATGCATCACTGTTTTCATTGCTTTTGCAGATTGTTGTTCACAAGAGTGGTCCAAGAGGAGTGCATTTTAGGCGTGCTGGCCCGCGCCAACGAGTTAGCTCTCTCTTTATTACTCTCTCAATGTATGGTTTTTAGTTTCATCTTTTAGTTATTGAGTTGCAATGGCTTGTTTCTTCAGGTATACTTCCAGTCAGATGAGGTTCATGCTTGTATCGTGACATGTGGCGGTCTTTGCCCCGGTCTCAACACCGTGATCAGAGAACTAGTTTGTGGTTTATACAATATGTATGGTGTCAAGAAGGTTCTAGGAATTGAAGTAAGTCATTGCCTTAATCCCTGCACTACCTACACAAAGGATGCTTTACTAAGCGAAAAGGGACTTGCAGGGTGGATACAGAGGGTTCTATTCTAAGAATACCATTCCTTTGACTCCAAAGTTCGTGAATGATATCCATAAACGTGGTGGAACTGTCATTGGATCATCACGAGGTGGTCATGATACTTCAAAGATAGTCGACAGCATTCAAGATCGTGGCATCAATCAGGTGTGAATGTGATACTATTTTTTTGCAATTTCAATGGGAAATTAGATTCTTGGATCATTGTTCATTGGTTTCCTTTTCTCAGGTTTACATAATTGGTGGAGATGGAACTCAGAAGGGAGCAGCTGCTATATATGAGGTAACATAGTTAAGTACTGAAACTTGGCATCTTGATGTCGTGTATTCTTGTTTTTTTAATTGAGGTTTGATAAAGCATGAGATCCCGTATCTGTTGGAGAATGGAACGGAACATTTCTTTTAAGAGTGTGTTTTAAAATATTGACGGGAAACTCAAAGAGGACAATTTCTGCGGTTAATGTTAATCTCTCGTGGCTTATCCACTTTCTGTTTTGTGATTTGTATGGGAAAAAATGATTATTTGTTCCTCAGGAAGTCAGAAGGAGAGGGCTCAAAGTTGCTGTTGTTGGGATCCCGAAAACCATCGATAACGACATCCCGGTACGTTATTCATCTTCCAATGTTGACTGTCGTACTAAATCGAACAGTTACTGGTTCTTAGTGGATTCTGTCTGGTTCTGATGCAGATCATTGACAAAACCTTTGGCTTTGACACTGCTGTTGAGGAGGCTCAGCGTGCTATAAACGCCGCCCATGTTGAATCTGAAAGTATGGAGAATGGTATAGGACTTGTGAAGTTGATGGGTCGCTATTGTGGTAAGTTTGCAGCTTTGGCTAATAATTAGCTTCATCATATGAACTTGTCAAAGCTCGTACTAAGTCCTGATGTTGGTTTCCTGGTGATGAGTGCAGGGTTCATAGCAATGTATGCAACTCTTGCGAGCAGGGATGTCGACTGTTGCTTAATTCCCGAGTCACCTTTCTATCTTGAAGGACCTGGTGGACTTTATGAATACATTGCAAGATGTCTCAAAGACAACGGTCACATGGTCATTGTCATTGCAGAAGGAGCTGGGCAGGAGCTGCTATCTGGAAGCCTCGATTCTAATAAGCAGGATGCTTCTGGGAACAAGCTTCTTCAAGATGTTGGGCTATGGATATCACAGAAAATCAAGGTTTAGTGCCTACCCTCTTTTCTACAAACATTTGTTCGTTTCAGTTAGATCTTATAGTACATAGAATACTTGAATCAAATCATTGTTCGCTGAGAATTTCATTTCTGTTTCTGCAGGATCATTTCTCAAAAGAACATAAGATGACCATAAACCTCAAATATATTGGTAGGTTCTAAGTGATTTATTTTCTTACCATTAAATATTTTATATCAGACGTATAATACTGTTGTTGTGACAGATCCGACGTACATGATCCGAGCTATTCCAAGTAATGCCTCTGACAATGTTTACTGCACTCTGCTTGCACAAAGTGCTGTGCATGGAGCAATGGCTGGCTATACTGGCTACACTAGTGGGCTTGTTAACGGAAGACAGACATACATTCCCTTCTACGTATGACCTCGACCCTGAGTTTGACCCCGACTCCCCCATAATAGTCATAGAATATACCCAAGAATCATGCACAGATGTATGTGAGATCCTACTTTGGTTGGAGAGGGGAAGAAAGCCTTCCTTGTAAGGGTGTGGAAACTTCTCTCTAGCAGAAATGTTTTAAAACTGAGGTTGACGGTGATATGTAACGGGTAAAGGGGACAATATCTACTAGTGGTGAGCTTGGGCTGTTACAAATGGTATCAGCGTTAGGCACCAAATGGTGTGCTAGCGAGGACGCTGGACCACCAAGGGGATGGATTGTGAGATCCCACATAGGTTGGTTGGAGAAGGGAACAATGCACATTCCTTATAAGGGTGTGGAAACCTCTCCTTAACAGACACGTTTTAGAACCGTGAGGCTGACGATGATACGTAGCAGGCCAAAGTGGATAATATCTACTAGCGCTAGGCTTGGGCTGTTACAAATTATATTAGAGCCAGACATCGAATGGTGTGCCAGCGAGGACGCTGGACCCCCAAGGGGGATGGATTGTAAGATCCCACATTGGTATTGGTTTGGAGAGGGGAACAATGCAGCTTCTTTAAAAGGGTGTGGAAACCTTTCCCTAACATACATGTTTTAGAACCGTGAGACTGACAATGATACGTAATGGGCCAACCTGGATAATATCTACTAGCAGTGGGCTTGAGTTGTTATAAATGGTATGAGAGCCAGGCACCGAATGGTGTGCCAGCGAAGATGCTGGCCCCCAAGGGGGGTGGATTTTGAGATCCCACATTGGTTGGAGAGGGGAACAATGCACATTCCTTATAAGGATGTGGAAACCTCTCCCTAACAGATGAGTTTTAAAACCGTGAGGCTAATGGTTATACGTAATAGGTTAAAGTGGACAGTATCTAGTAGCACGTATTTGAAGTTTTGTGAGTTTAAACTATTTATAGTGAGGTTAGTGTTTCAGTCAGTCTTGCATTCCTTGTGCACATAAAACAAGCTCAATCTGACCACGGTTGGAAACGAAAGGACGAATAGAGACATTCATTCATCAAGCTTTACGACGAATGTGACTAACACTGATTTGGTCAATCTGCAGCGAATTACTGAGAAACAGAATAAGGTTGGGATAGCTGACAGAATGTGGGCGAGGCTTCTATCGTCGACGAACCAGCCGAGCTTTCTAACTGCAAAAGACGTAAACGAGGAAGATACGACGAACGATACGAGCGAGTTAAACAATAAGACGGAGGACGAAACGGTGAGCAATCTAGTGTAATGTAGTTCAAACTGAATTGTGTCAAGAATTTGAAAGATGAGTGTGTTGTAGTAAGCTAAGCTAAGGCTGTTATTTTTGGGCCTTTCAGTTCTTCTCTCTAGCCATTGCTGAAGTCCTAAACCACTCGTGAAGAAGCTTAAGCTGTCTTTTATGGAGTTCTTTTCTTGTTATACTCAGTTTGCTTGTTGTAGGCTAATTGTTTTAGACTAAATCTTTATCCAAAGGAGGATTCTCCCATTGTATTGGATCGTTTAGGATAGATCTTTCTCTTGTCTTGATTATGTCACAAGCTGTGCTCATCGGTTGCTCACTGGATGAGTTACTGCTGTATGCACTATCTTAATAAATAATATTTCTTTTTTATTAGTACTAATTCTTTTTCCAAAATCACCAAATATTTAGCCAAACTCCTATTCCGACCCGCCGCAATTAGAGCATACCCATTTCAAGCTCTGAAGGTCGAAAGGCATAAAAGCAAGCCCTAAAATAAGGAAAGGTGGTCCGAAAGAGCAGAATAAGACAAGACAGCTAGGCTAAAGGCGAGGAAGTCCCATTCGACAACTACTCGCTGGACAACTATTGGTTGATTGTCGACGAGGAGGAGTCAACTAGCGAGGTCAGCTTTTGGAAGATTATATGATTATATGATTCTTTAGCTCATTGAGTTATATTACATTAATGAATCTGGCTGGAAAGCCTTAGTCTTGTCTGATTCTATTTTTTATAAAGCTACCAAATTTATTTCTAAATAAATTTATAATTTCAACTATTCATGGAGTTTCATAAACCAATGACTACCCGTTGGGCAACCAAATGTAGTAGGATTAAAGGTTTTTCTACGATCATAGCTGAGTTGTGCGTAAGTTGACTAGAACATCGAAGGACATGCATCTTTCCGTGCTTTGGTTTGAAAGATTATTGAGATTGTATTTACCATACATCTTCACTTATCATATTTTACTTGTGAAGGGTATTATTGGTAATTTTTAAAGTCTATATATAATTTTGAAAAAGAGAGCAGTAATTTAATCTAAATTAATACTTATATGTAATATTTAATTAAACAAACTAAATTGAAATGCAATGATTGGTTAAAATATTGATTTAAAGAATTCCAAATTGAAGGTTAATTAATTAATATCCTCAATATATTTTATAAATATTCATGTAAAAACAACTTTTGAATGCAATTTTTTATTATAGCCCTAACCTGATGGCAACAATGGCCCATTCCCATTTATTGGGCCCAACTGGAAGGCCCAAAGTTTAGAGAGTATTGGTCTCTCAGCTAGCCCGTATTCATAATCGTCTATATATTCCCAATCGAAACCCTAATTGGTCTTTCGAGCTCTTCACCGCCTTCTCATTCGGACTTCAAGCACCAGGACGCTACCGAAGTAAACAATCAGCCATGGGTGAGCTAAACCCCAACTCTTCAGTTCTCGACCTTCGATCTATTGTAGTGCATTTAGTTTTTTCTGATGCGTCTCGATTCTTTCATCTCTCTGAATCTGTTTGCATATCGTGTTTCTCTGTGGCTTTATTGACTTCCAGGTAAGGTTCATGGATCTTTAGCTCGTGCTGGGAAGGTGAGAGGTCAAACCCCGAAAGTAGCGAAGCAGGACAAGAAGAAAAAGCCCCGGGGACGCGCACACAAGCGTATGCAATACAACCGCAGATTCGTCACTGCCGGTAAATCATCGTCGTTAACTTTATTGATCTTCAGATCTATTGGCGCTTTAGTTTAGGATTATTGATTTAGGTTTCGTGGAATTAGCATTGCAATCGGTTTATTTGTTAGAAATTAGAATATATGCAGTTCTGTCTAATCGATATCTTTATTACGAAATTAAGATCCTCGTATGAGGGTTTGATAGCCTCATTCTAACGTGTGGTTTATATCTATTTGTATTTGTAGTTGTTGGCTTTGGAAAGAAGAGAGGACCCAACTCCTCCGAGAAGTAAACAAACAACGATTTCGTTGGGTGCTTTGCCGCTGGAGATGCATGGTTTTATGCGTTATTAAGCATTTTCTTTCTTTTTCTAATAGATGTTTTAGTTGTTGAAGCTTTTTTGACCATGTAAAAGATATTTATTTTGGCAATATATTAGAAGCAATGCGATTTGGATCTGAATTTTAGTTGGTTTCGTATTTTCTCTTGTTGATTTTATGATATTTATCTGGATACCTAGAGTTCTCTCAATGCCGCGATGTTTCTTGATTTGAGTTGTATTTTATATGTCATCGAAAGTGGAGTTGAGTGGGAAGATCTCTCATTAGATTCTTATAAAATCTGCACTGATAGGCTTAATTTACAAAAGCAAGCGTTTCTACGTTTTGTCTTACAATTGCAACAGGTGGTTACTAATGATTTGGGTGCTGTAACAAATTAGGTTTCTGGATCAAATTACATGAGCTTTCCCGAATCTGGACGAGTTTTTCTCATTAGGTTACTTTTATCAATTACGATCCAAGTTCTAGGCATCGGAACAGTTGATGTGCATGAAAATGCTGAAAAGATCTTTCTTGTTTGAAAGGCTTGCAGGCTTTGCTATTATAGAGAAGTTTGTGTTAGAGAAGTAGAAGTTTGTATTAGAGAAGTTTTCATACTCTTGTAAAGATTGTTTTATTCTTCTGTTTCGTTTTTCTTCTCAATCGACTGATCTCACAAATATGATGTCCGATGGGGATTCTATTTATAGAAAATGGTTTTAGAAGCATTACTCCTGAAGAAATTCTTTTAGGAGGTGGAGGTGGTTTAAATGGTTATATATTGAATCCCAAATAAGCAAAATGATCATGGCTCACTCTGGCCAAACTTTAAACAATTAAGCATGGCAAATGGGTTTTTCTAAAATTGCATCTGGGAAGCCTAAACACATTCTCAGACGTGATTACAAGTGACTGGTACTTGATCCAGAACAGAAACAGAGCCATTACTTGGATGACTCTAAACAGCTACAGATATTTAAAGCTCATCACGAGAGTATCCTTTAGTTGAAGTAGACTTGGGTGAGTACTCTAGAAGGTACCTTGTGGCGATTGAAGCCTGCAATGCTGCACCATAAGGAATAACATCTTCATTCACTATGTAATAAGGCGAATGTCCCGGTTCGAACTTTCCTACAGTCTCGTTCTTCATCCCAACGAAGTAGAAGAATCCTGGGAATGCTTCACAATAGAATGCAAAGTCTTCTGCTCCCATTAAAGGTTGCATATCAAGAACGTTCTTCGAACCCAACATGTCCCCAGCGACTGCACGAAAATGCTCGTAAAGATCTTGGTCATTCAGTGTAACTGGAAAAAAAGGCTTTTGATCTTCATTGAACTCCACAGTGGCATTGCACCTCTGAACGTTGGCTTGTTTTGTGATAACCTGCCATTGTTTTCCAAGAACAAAATATCATGGACTAATATTTGAAATGGATCTAACGACCCAAGTCTACCGTCAGTAGATATTGTCCTATTTGAGCTTCCCTCCGTTAATAGATATTGTCCTATTTCGGCTTTACCCTTTGGATTTCCCCTCAAAACTTTAAATTACGTCTGCTAGAATAAGGTTTCCACACCCAAGGGTGTTTGGTTTTTCTCTCCAACCAATGTAAGATATCACAATAAAAATCTACCTCTACAATTCTGTGTTTAAGTTGGATGAAGCTTTCCTTTGAAAACGCCCTGAAAGTGCCGCCAATTGTTACAGAATCAGGAATGACATTGAATGCATCACCGCCCTGAAACTTTGCTACTGTAACGACCTGAAAGATTCAAGCATGTTTGTGAATTGACAGAGTATAACAAGGCTGAGAAATGTTTAGAAAAAAAGAGAACCTGTGAATCTAATGGATCAGTTTCGCGGGAGATTAGTTGTTGCAAACTGATAATTATGTTGGAAGCTGCTAAAATTGGGTCAAATGTGTGGTGGGGTAGAGCAGCATGACCTCCCTTACCGCTAATAACTGCCTCAAAGAAACCACTTGCAGCCAGAATAGGACCAGGCCTGGAGATCACCATGCCAAAAGGATACTTGGCACTTACATGTGCTCCAAAGATGGCATCAACATTGTTCAATACTCCAGTCTCTAACATTTTCTTCGCTCCCCCACCTCCTTCCTCAGCTGGTTGAAAAACAAGAACTAGTGTTCCCTGTTAAGATCAGGACCATCAACACCATAAACTAGCGCAGCAGTATGAAAAATATGAAAACCGTCCTAAGGAGATTGTAAAGAAAACAAGCACGGTCTTCAAAAACTAAATATGAAACCATTATCAAACGGGACCTTAGTATCTAAAGCCCCCGCTCATTTCTTAGAGGTTAACAAATAATAGGTAGAAATATGCTTCCAAAACAACACAAATCAACAAGAATAATACGTAGAACATATCTAAAAGCTCTATAATGATGTAATCTCCACAGCAACAAGCAACCCCTTTTAACTTAGAAGATGATAGAGTATGTAAAGCTTCCATCAATAGCAAAATCACAGCGTAAGAACCTGTATTAGATGGCGATGCTCCACAAGAATCTTTGCAGCTCCTAAAAGCATGGCAACATGAGCATCGTGGCCGCATGCGTGCATCTTTCCAGGAACTTTGCTTTTATGCTCCCATGCTACGCCCTCCTACAATACAACCACCAAAACTCCATTATCTTAAGTTTCAATACATAGCATTTAGAAGCACCAATGGGTGAAAACCATTGAAAGTAGACCGGTTGAAGTGGTACTTAGTTTCAAAATCATCCATATAATCCTATTAATTCACAATCACATTCAACCAAAACAAGCAGAAAGAAAAAGGGGATTACAAAAATTGGCTATAAAGTGTACCTGCAGGGCTAGAGCATCCATGTCTGCTCGAATAGCAACGAAAGGAGGGTTTCCAGTTCCTATGAAACCAACCACGCCAGTTATGGCCACTGGATACTCATAAGAAATGCCTAAACGGTCAAGCTCCGCTCTGACAAGCTTGCTGGTCTCAAATTCCTCGAAACCCAGTTCAGGGTTCTCGTGTATTTTCCTTCTGATATCAACCATCCAATCAAAAACCTCTGGACTCTTAGCATATTGAAGGAAATTCAAAGGGATTTGCGACAATTCTTCTGGGATCGGAGAGGAACACAGGAATTGGGCATAGCATAAGCACATGGAAAACAAAATCAAATTCAGGCAACAACGTAGAGCCATTGGTTTCTCTGTAATTTTCAATGTGTAACGATTCAAACTATGGAAATGAAGATTTAGTAATGGAGTTGAGTAGAAATACAACTGAAGATTGAAGTCTGATCGGCAGTTGTTGGAGAGGAAAACATACCAAATGGAATGCGGAATGGATGGCCTCTCGCCTCTCAACACGACGAGCAATATTCATAAATGTCTGGAAAAGAAATCTTGATATCTTAGCCCAGTGTTCGAGGTGGAAGGCCTTACGGAATTAGAAGGAAAAATTGTATAGTTCTTAGGTTTGGTAAGTCAGCTTTAACCTTTTCTTTTGTGGGCCGCAACACTGTCAACGCCGTGAAGAAAAAGGCATCTCCCACACAACAACAACGCGCCTAAGTAAACCGGACCAAAGTCGCCTCTCAACCAGATCTGCCCTTCTTCTTTAATTTTATTTCTCCACACCGATCGCTCTTCGATTTCCTATCATCAGCTCTCAGGTACACACCTCTTCATCAATTTTTTCTTCTTTCTTTTTGGATCGAATTGACCTTGTGTTTCAATCTCGATTTTGGTCGAGTTTCGAGATTTGATTT